TCATGTATGTAATAATTAAATGTTCTGTATATTGTAATTGCTAATTTACGATATAAAATATGGTTTATACTAAATGGGAAGGCTATATTGTTGATGTCTTTGCTTCAGAGGTTGTCTTATTTAAGCGGGTATCGAACAAATGGGAAATATATATTGGAAATGTTTTTTGCTTCCGTGCGTTTCCTATTTTAGCGGAAATAAAAAATATTTTGTGCTACATGTATCAGATATTGTAGCACTTGTTAACTAGTTACCATATTGCGGCGGATATTTTCCGTCTTTGCGTATTGCAGAGTTATCTTCTCCTGTGAGCAGGTATTGAATGTTACGTCATTTGTTTGTGAGAGTAACTTCATCAATTTTTGAGAAAACGACGTAATTTTCTCACACAAACCAATGACGTAACAATCAATCCCTGTTCACAAGAGAAGATAACTCTGCAATACGCAAAGACGGAATAACAGATTTGAAGTAGACTAATATAATTATTTTTTTAAATTGTCATCCTATTTAAGCTTATAATGTTTATTATTATAAAGTTAAATATTTATTATAAGTATTTTAACGTTAGTGGTTGTTTAGTTTTAGCGGTCATAAAATATTTGGTAAATAATTAGAAACCTTCAAAACATATGGGTATTTGTTGTCATTTTTTTCGCCGATATATAACGAATAGGGATGATACTTATTGATTTAAGTTGTTGACATATTTTAGCAGATATAAAACACATATTTGTATATGATTGTTTTTCTTGATCGACACAGCTAATCTCATTTGAATGATAGCGTGGTTCATAAAACACACACTTTTCAGGTTATTGATATGAAACTATCCTACACTTCTTTTGAAATTCATAAATTGAGAGGTTTGACGCACCTTCCGACCTGTTTCGAAAGAAGTTAAAACCATTTTTGATTTCCTTTTTTTGGCCACTTGCAACACTGTTAAGTTCTTAAAGGACAAAACAGCTCCATAGTGCCATGTTATTTATTTTCAGCATGCTGTATCGATTACCAATTGTTTAAGGGAATATGTGACCTAACCTTCTGATATATGTAATCTAACCTTCTGATATATGTAATCTAACCTTCTGAAATATGTGACCTAACCTTCTGATATATGTGACCTAACCTTCTGAAATATGTGACCTTACCTTCTGAAATATGTGATCTAACCTTCTGAAATATGTGACCTTACCTGCTGATATATGTGACTTTACCTTCTGATATATGTGATCTAACCTTCTGAAATATGTGACCTTACCTTCTGAAATATGTGATCTAACCTTCTGAAATATGTGACATAACCTTCTGATATATGTGACCTTACCTTCTGATATATGTGATCTAACCTTCTGATATATGTGATCTAACCTTCTGATATATGTAATCTAACCTTCTGATATATGTGATCTAACCTTCTGAAATATGTGACCTAACCTTCTGATATATGTGACCTAACCTTCTGATATATGTGACCTAACCTTCTGATATATGTGATCTAACCCTCTGATATATGTGATCTAACCTTCTGATATATGTGATCTAACATTCTGATATATGTGACCTAACCTTCTGAAATATGTGATCTAACCTTCTGAACTAACCTTCTGAAATATGTACCCTAACCTTCTGAAATATGTGACCTAACATTCTGAAATATGTGACCTTACCTTCTGAAATATGTGATCTAATCTTCTGAACTAACCTTCTGAAATATGTACCCTAACCTTCTGAAATATGTGACCTAACATTCTGAAATATGTGACCTAACCCTATGAAATATGTGATCTAGGAGGCGCAGTAGTCTAGTGGTAGGACGCCGGGCTCGTGACTGAAGGGTTGTGGGTTTGAGTCACGGCACAGCACTATGTTGTGTCTTTGAGCAAGATACTTTATCCCGCTTGTTCCATTCTATTCAGCAGTAAAATGAATGCGTGGTTGGGTAGTGACAGAATAGTTGAAAACTAGATGTGAGCGCCGGAATGGTAGCATCGGCTGTTTGCTCCCCAGTGAGTTGAGAGAGATATTGGCTGGTTGCAAAGGCCCTATAACCACGGATAATAATTTATAAACCGCTTTGAGACGACCTACGAACTAGATTGTGATAAAGCGGTATATAAAAACCTCAAATTATTATTATTATTTTTATTATTACCTTACCTTCTGAAATATGTGACCTAGTCTAATGAATCAGGAGCGACCATACTACTATTTAATGTGTGACCTACCTTGTAAAAATGTGTGTTTTAGCCGCGTAATATCCATTGTGACTTCAGATTGATATGACGTCATGGAATTTAAGATGGCGACGTCGACAAAATACAATACATCATAGGCTGTACAGCATGTTAATTTTGCCTCAATTAACATGTTGATAGAACACTTGGTGAAGGGATCGTTTCTTAACATAAAATCGATGATACAATAGTCAATACGTTTTTTAGCTCACCTGGTCCGAAGGACCAAGGTGAGCTTATGCCATACCGCAGCGTCCGTCGTCCGTCAACTTTACACTACTAGTCGTGAACCACTGAGCGGATTTTAACAAATTTTGGTGTGGAGCATCCTTGGGTTAAGAAGAACCAATTTTGTATAAATGGTGGGTCTGGCCCCCCAGGGGCCTGAGGGGCGGGGCCAAATAGGGCAATAGAGCATTTTTTTCTTTAAAATCCTTCTTCTTCTGTAGAAATGAAAGGATTTGTTCCATTTTTGGTTAGAAGCATCCTTGGGGGAAGGGGAAGAAAGTTTGTATAAATGGTGGGTCCGCCCCCCCCCCCCCCCCCCCCCCCCCCAGTTGCCTGAGGGGCGGGGCCCAATAGGGTAAATATAGCAAATTCTTTAAAATCCTTCTTCTTCTGTAGGAATGGAAGGATTTGTTCCATATTTGGTCTGCAGCATCCTTGGGTGAAAGGGAACCAATTTTGTATAAACCGTGGATCTGGCCCCCAGGTGCCTGAGGGGTGCGCCCAATAGGGGAAATATAGCAAATTCTTTAAAATCCTTCTACTTCTGTAGGAATGAATGGATTTGTTCCAGATTTGGTCTAAAGCATTTTTGGGTGAAGGTGAACCAATTTTGTATAAACGGTGTGTCTGACCCCCCTGTAGGCAGAGAGGCGGGGCCCAATAGGGAAAATAGAGGTAAAACCTGTAAGATCCTTCTTCTATCATAGGGATTAAGGGGTTTTATCCTAATTTAGTCTGGAGCATCCTTGGGCCAAGGGGACTCAATTTTGTATTAGCAGTAGGTGTGGTCTCCGAGGGGGGCAGAAGGGCGGGGCCAAATAGGAGAAATAGAGGTAAAACCTTTAAAATCCTTCTCCGACCATCGGGATAAAGGGAGTTTATCCTTATTTAGTGTGGAGCATCCTTGGGTGACGGTGACTCAATTTTCTATAATTGGTGGGTATGACCCCCGTAGGTGCATAGGGGTGGGGCTCTGTTTGAAGTTTGTTCTCTATATCTCAAGTACTGGATGGATCTTTCTGAATGTACTTACAGCACCTACCATGGAGTGCTATATCTTTACTTCATACCAATTACTTTAATTATATTCAGGTGAGCGATACAGGCCCTATGTGCCTCTTGTTATTCACTTGAGTTCAGCTTGTTAGAATGATGAGTTCCTCTTTGACTTCATCAATCTATTACGAGCCATTTAAGATATCATATATATTTATAGAGTATGTAATAAGTCTCGGGTAGATAGTCAATATCGTGTATATCTTGTTGAGGCCGCTGTAAGGGAAGCATATCCTGTGTGTTGTAAATAGCTTTTTACAACTCCCATGTGTACAAGTGGTTGTATTAATACTATCAAGACGAACCTGTGAGGCAATAGAGAATACGCTGCAAAATAGAAAGGAGTATCACAATCTGATTGATTTACAGCTACTAGGTGATATAAATCAGGTCTTATTGTGTTTACAATTGTCACGATTTGGATATTTTCTCAATTCCATAAAACACTCCTCTTATGTGTGATGCTAGATATTATTATAGCATAGTGCATGCTCTATAATGTATATACATTGGCTATTAGTACAAATCAACGACTGCTAGTGCTATGTCCAAACAGTACATTTCATACCAAATATATATGAACCAGCTTAACTCGAACACTCGGATAACTCGAAGTTTTCCTACGACCCCGTCGACTTCGAGATAACGAGGTTCGACCGTATACCATTTATCATAGATACAAAATGGTGGTGTTATGTATTTAACTTGTCTGTGTTGTATGATGTTGCATGTAATAGATAACGTTTGTGTTATATGACTGAACAATAATAATGCTTTGATAATATGAAATAAACACATGCATAACAGGGATTTCAATGGCGATGTTGAAGAACTGTCGTCATTCTCAAAATACCAGCGATAACGCTCACATACGTTATCTGCACCCCTGTAATATGCAATAACGAAACTGAAGGTTATATTCGCACTACCTTATATATGACACTATAAGACAAGTTCGATCATTTTGTTTGTATCAAAAGAATCACAGGGCAGCGGAACGGTAGAATGTCCTGACATTGATGTCGGATAGGGCGTCTCTATAATCTTCAATCGACAGGTATAAGCCTCGAGATTGGTCTGTCAGTTCCTTTTACCTGAAACCTGTCAAGTAGCTAACCTCGTGCCTTCGATTTTGTTATGACATATTCCAGGGGTGCGGAGAACGTAAGTGAGCGTTACCGCGGGAATTTCTAGGAAGACATGTCGTATTTTTTGTGTGATATTTGTTTTTTTCTTTGTCGTATGGGGAAAGAAATATTGGAATCATTTGATTCCTTAACATTCATTAAGTATAACCTGTACTTCCAATGTTGACTATTACAACTCGTTAAGTATGGGAAAATTATCTATGATCATATAATCACCACAACTCGTTTAAAACCGAATTATAATAACTCTCTCATGTACAAAGTTTGTATTGATTACACAAACTATTAAAAATGTCTAATGTTAACCTAGATCTTTCTGTACTTACAGCTCCTTGGGTTTGCCCTGGTGGCTGCAGGGTTTGCCGTGAAGGTAAAAGGAGATCTCATTAATGGACCGGTAGCGGAATTACTCAGAGAACTGAACACACAGCAAGATGGCGCCACACTCGCCGACATGCTGGTCACTTTGTCGAATCTCTTCATTGCGATAGGTCTCGCCGGATTAGTGGTCTCGCTGATTGGCTGTTCTGGCGCCGGCTGTAGTTGGAGAAGTTGCCTAATAGCAGTAATGTTTATTTTGTTTAAATTTCTCTGCAGTAAATAATATATTTTATGGTCATAATTCAACATTAGAATTAGAATGTGGTATGTCTGAGGGATTTTAACATTATTGAGGTGCATTACAATTAAGGGGCAGCGAGAAGATTTGCGGAGACACGTGTTCTAAATATTCAACACCAGTGATTGGATTTTTCTCTTCGATATCTTGAGAGATGCCATCCGGTTGCAAAATTCTCATACAACCCTACCTAACAGTTACTTCTTTCATTGGATTGATTCAAACTCTTCCCTTGCAAATGACATTAAGGCATAGCCAACGTCATGTTGACGTCATATTTCTCTACCCTTTTCAATCATATGTGAACGTCCCTCGATGTGTCATGGCTGATTAACACGTACCGTGCAGTATCCCTGATAGACCATCCCTATTTTAAATATCTGTCTCTTGTCATCCCCATAAAACAGTTCACTTTATACGCATAATCTATTAATAGACCAACTTTCGTAGGAGACACATTTTAAGTTCTTGACGGTCTCGCAGGATAGAGTCGACTGTATTTATAGGTCGAATTAGCTGTATTCTATGAATGCTTAAAAGATTCCAAGACAAGACGTAAGACAGATAAGCATGGTTTACCATTGTATCGAGAAGGAAATCTATATCTCAAAGAACGTTAGATCATTTTCGCTTGTAACTATACAATGTAACCTCTGATTGAGATGGAAAGCCTTAAAATTCGATGCCACAATGGAATTACACGGTCCTAAAGCACTACTATGTGTAAATACCGAAAGTAGTTGGTAACGTTGGTAATATCGTGAGCTTCATCAGGTACTTTGAAGCATTTAGAAAACCCATACATTTGTTTTTGTTTTTGTAATGGTTTTATTTTTCCAACTTTTTCATTACATATACATAAACAGGACATTCACGCATTCTCACACATACACACAGGGACATGGATCTAGCATTATCACAATCATTATCATTGTTATCATGATATCGTCATCATCATCATCATTATCATTGTCATCATCATCATTCATCTTTATCATCGTAATCATCATCTTTCATATATAATTATTCAATCATCATCATTGTCATCATCCATCATCAACATTTTTATTAACATCATTGTCATACAATCATCATCATCATCATACAATCATCATCATCATACAATCATCATCATCATCATATCATCATCATCATCATACAATCATCATCATACAATCATCATTCCATATGTATCTTCATCAACAAATTATTATCACCATCATATTATCATCATCCTCGACATCTTTAATTCATAATGATATCATCATCATTCCAAATTTACAAACATTATACTCACATTTAAATCACCCACTTAGTTGTTGTATACATCAATTCCCAACTACTTGATATATTGTTAAAAAGACACTTGCCGGTAGAAGGCACTTCAGTAATGAGGTAATGAGGGTTTGAAGTGAAATATTCAAAAAGGGGTAACATATCACAATGTTTAACTCACTCTCCCCTGAAGACACATTTGAGCTCATCCAAACCAAAGCTTGGAACAGTTAATTATAAAGATTCAAGAGTGAATGGGTTAAAGCGTTCGCCTGCTGACCAAAAGGGATAAACACTTTATCCTGTTGGTTATAAGATAGAAAACCACAATATCAATTATGTGTATACTATATATAGCATAAGGATAACATATTGTTCTCAAAATTCTCAAGCGACGAATTGCATTTCATGAACTCTCACGAAAATAAACATTCACAAATATCAGATGAGTATGGGGAACATATTATAAAATATATGAGTGTAAGGCTATATCAAAGTGTTTCCTCAAGAATGCCAACTGCTCCCATTGGGAGTTTCTACTTGAGGTTGATAACGGTGAAGGTAGCCCAGCGCTGATTAAATTCCCTATTCCTCCTGATCATTACGTCACGAATGACTGAACCAGTACACTTCAATCATTTGACGTTCAATTATAGCGTACAACTTCCACCGTAGGGAATAATATAGTAATTAATCGTCGCCTTCTGACCTTACCATTGTTATCAAATCAAGTTACACGAAAGTAGATTAAGCTTATCTCTTGATACTCATCTTAATCTGTTCTGCAGTATACGAGGAAGATAAGACATCTGGGAGTGCTATTGTCCATCAATGTCCTTTCCGGTTTCAGTAGAGTTAAGGTCTTAAATCAAATCATCATCATTTCAGATATACCCTGATTAGTTCTACCTACGACCAAATCACGTAAAAAAATATCAACCCAACTGGAACAAAAGTTGTTCCTTGGCAGATATTCTCAGGATTATGTATTGTAATTACCAATTTTTGTATTGTATTGGTAATTACAATCCTGAATTATGTATAATTTTAATGTAACATTGATGAAATTTGAATTGGTCTTCTTATTTCCAATTGTAAATTGAATTGCGATACTTTTTTAGTAGTTTCATTATGTGGCAATTCAGCTTATTAGGTATTCCTCTTTTCTTCTATTTACTGATAGACATTTCCTGTTACCTGATGGGAAGAACATCATGGCTTCATGTATGAAATAAGATCCCTTGCATTGTCCCGGTACATACCATACGAAGTGATTTATCAGAAAATGTATAATGTAAAAAGTCAATATTTCTTAAGCTGTTATGAAAACACTTGACAATTCAGGAATTTAAACCATCAGTCCATTATGTTATCTCAATCGGAAAACTATTAATTCTTAGACAGGAGATTGAAAACCATTATCTGCTCGTAATGGACACTTATCTATTCAAACATCTGTTAGACTAGCTTAATAAACACTCCGGTTTGTTACCACAAATAGTAGGCTTTGTTATCACAAACACTTTGAAAGTCTGCGTAACGTGTATTCTCGTTAATGTTAGCCAGACGATATCAATTAGTTTTCTATTTATCAACTTATAATTAGTACTTTTCACAAACATTTGATTTATCATCAAAAATATTTTTAAGGCTTTGTGTGACATAAATTTCCATTGACTTAAGACAGACAGTGCAAGAGACTTATCACTCCACCCATGCAACCGCAGGTCATACTGTCTATATTGAGTGCGAACTTCCTGTTTACCGTGTTGTTTATATAATTTCATCAAAACGTTGTCCTTTGAAACGATCGGGTTCACACTGAAAGTATTTTTGCATACCTTGCCAATGCCAGGTGTATATATATTACAACGGTTCGTATTCTCCGACAGGGAATTTTTCATTACTGATATATAATGACAGTTTCAGGTACAATTTCCGTAATTTTGTTCCAAAATATTTGTACTGGTATTGTCCAATTTAGCTTGACAACCTCATTAGTTTTTCTATTTCCTATCTCCGTGTTTCTTTCAGGAAGTTAGATGATATTGTATCTACCTAATATACAAGTGGATATATTAGATTAATTGTTTTTCCTCCTATGACGTCAGAATATATTCTTATGGTAACTGTAGATACAACAAGAGTGATTAATATAAGTTGTTAGAACTTGTTTCGCAATTGTTGTAAAATATATAAAGCATACATTTTGATCGCAATTTTAAATAGATCTGAACAAAAACAACGAACTAACATCTGCATCCACGCACCTTGTATCAGACCCATCCACGCACCTTGTATCAGACCCATCCACGCACCTTGTTTGTAACAGACCCATCCTTCGGCACAGGTTTTCGTGTTTCGACACGTGGTAGATACCACAATAGATAAGCCACAATTTTCGATTTGTACTTTCGTGAGAAACACTTAATCACACTGTGTTAATATTATCACTGGTGGGATTTGTTCGTTTTACATGGACATAGTGTGCCTATTTTTGAACTTGGTTCTATTTCTAAACAAACATCTCTTCTTCTGTTTCCCCAAGCGTATGCTTTGCATAATTACACTATATTACCCTGGAATGAATTCCATGGTGGGAAGCCATTACATTCTTAGAATGAGTGATACTACTCATGAAGCACACCTATCATGTAGGAATTACAATTCACTAAGGCATGGACAGTAGTGGTACAGGATATTTAGGTGAATTAAACAATAACAAGCATGAAGTTTACAAATAGCTTTTCATGGGCTTTAACCTGATGCTTACCGTATGTTATTGTATTAATCAAAACTTCAACCACCCAATGAGAAATCAATATAATTAACTAGAATAACTGATTAATTACTTTATTACTAATTAATCTGAATGACGAGACATTGGGCCTTGCTCTAGCCTTGTTAGTTTAACGAAACGTTAATTGAAGTATATCATAAATTACATTAAATAAACGTTATGTATTCATAACTTAAACTGCCTAGAAATGAAATAACAAATAAACATTTGAAAATAGTTACCTAAAAACCAAAAAAATAACTGTAGAACAAATTTCCTATTTGCAAAGTTTAGTCGGTGGCTTTATAGGCTAACAATTCCTCAAAACCTTGGCAAGAATACATGTTATTATATGTATAACGAAGGCGCACCTTGTATGGATAGTTTATTCAGAATGCGGTATTGGTACAATAAACTAGGACGATTCTAAAGCAAAAAGATATGGTTCTTCCCAAATAGAAATTGGATTAATTACTTATACAATCTTCAACGGGAATTACCTTTATGCAATAGCTAAAGTACGAAACGGAATAGATGGTACATTGTAACCCCGCGTTTTGTTCACCATGGTAACGCGTCTTCCAACGTTGGGGAGCGTGATTGGTTAATTTATTTATGTTACTTTGCACGCATCTTATTTTCAGAAGAGTTCAGAATTCGCGATCGTGGAATTTAGCCCATGGTTAATTTAACTAATAGTACACTTGAACGCCTGTGTCAATAATTATACTGTGATGATTAATTATTAGATTAAGTAGCGTAAATGGACAATGAACTTCAACAAGAAATGCAATACTGCAGTAACGGTCATTACAGACAGCGCAACACCAAACGAAAGTCCAAATATAAACGGGTTTTTTTGACACCCACAAGAAATATCATCACTTCAATAGTGTTATGAAAATTCCTTAAAGAGTGCAGAAACATTACTTTTTTACCAGGATTAAAAAATAAGAGCATCAAGGAATATCAAAATGAATTTATTGTTATCAAAATTTCTCTTGAGAGCGCAGAAACAAATGACTATATAACAAGGAATAAAAAAGAGCATCAATGAATATCAAAATTAAATCATTGTTATCAAAATTCCCTTAAGAGTTCAGAAACATATTACTATATAACCAGGATTAAAATTAAAGCAGCATAAAACGACATAAACGTCCTCCCAGCCTGTAAGCTCGTTATAAAGACCGATGTCACGGGAAACACCACCTAAAAAAAGGAAGGAGAGAAACGATGAGAAACCAGGTCTGTTAATGGGGTCAGTAGATCAAATTCTGTTTTTGCAGTATTCACAAGAAGGTAAACATAGAAAATTCACCCGTTTTGCATCAATCACCTCCTAAGGCATTTTTTCATTTCAAAATATTTTATTAAATCAATCAGATTTAATGGGAATTGGGCAACAGGCAAAACCTATACAAGCCCTCTCCAAGGAGGTACATCTCAAACAATAGCAATATAATGAACTATAAATATTTACATAATGAACATGCTTTAGGAACAAAAGAATTAAATCAGTGCCAATGATGATAGGAGACACCATTCTTACACATACATGCATGCATACATACATGCACAAACATATATACATACATACATACATACATACATGCATGCTCCTAAGTCATGTTGCATGATGCAGCAGGTATGCTCTTTCCCCAAACCTGCAGGGAGGTACAAACGTTCTTTCTTGCTCCAGTTATATTATCTAAGCATATTTAACTGTTTCGTCTATCGCCATATCCCAATATGTATTTATCTATGAGTTAAGCCTGAAATGATAATGCATTAGATACATTATTACAAGACGATTGAACGAATTAAACAATACTTTCACGCTCGATTAAAAGGTCACGTACGTAAGTGTATTCTCGGTTAAACTAACGACAATATACATCGATTTTTCTTTAGGAATGTACGTTTGATGTCTGCAGACACAAATGCAATTTCTAAAGATCGATGTTGCCTATATACCTAAGCGACAAGATTCATAATTATAACTTTGAATTATTTATATACATCAGCTGCACTTGTAGATTCTGCATTATCCATAAATAATTCGATAATTCAACATATGTGTATTTAACACTTAACCTGACTACAATCCTTAGCACATACATGTAAAGTAATGTTGATACACGGTAAGCTAATACAATGTGAGATGTTATACATGAGTTATGTTACAGTTATCTCCCTTACATACCGTACATTTTCGTGCTGTAATAACATACACTTTATAAAGTTAAAGCATAAATTCTAATTTAATTTAGCAATGAACGTAAGTCCAACTTACCACTGCTTTATTTTAAACATATTTATAAGAGTATGAAAAACTCTTGAACATACAATAACCAATATGCCATATTGTATGGATATTATCCACAGAAAATAAATGCTAAAATATTTTGTTTATGCAAGTGAAACCGTCCACTAATGCCACGATTTGTCTATCAGGATTTAGGCAATATATCGAGCGATAAGCGACGACGATCTGTGAAAAAATAGAAAAAATGAATACATGAAATGGAGGCCTTCAACGGAGATTACAGTGTATACCTCGTTTGCAAGCCGTTATTCATATCACAATAACGTCACTAATACCCTTAACACAACAGAAAGTACACGATAGATTGATCGATATACTGAACAGTACTTACATGTAGCTACTGTTGTTGTATCTTATAACAATCCACCTGACACAGATCGATTGTCATAATCAATAAAACAGTAATAAAAAAAGTATTTCGGGAATCGAGTATAAGAATGGTTTCGTTTGATTTGCAAAGGGTTCAACGGCCTCGTAACAGCTAAGGTCATATGAAGACTGACGCTTAGAGATGTTAGCCGGAAATAATGAGTAGGAAAGTGCATAAAGAAAATACAAGGTATTATAATTAGTGCAGTATAGCCGTTTATGTTTCTTCAATGTGCGCTCAGCATGAGGAAAAACAAACAAAAACAAAAACAAAAGTCTGCAGGGGCTCCCAAATTAGTCGCCTATTACGGTACCATGCAATTGTATACAGCAGGCTTGTTCATGTCTCAAGCCTGCAGGGGTTGTAGAAAAAATGTCGTTCCTCGTCAGTCGTCCTCCTGCAGTATATATGAGGGGACCAAGTGAAGGCACATTAGGCTGATCATTGTCTATAGCACTTATAATGGGAACTCGTAAATTCCCGTTCCGAACATTCAAAAGAAATAGTTTTCCAAATAGAAGATTTCGTATTAACCAGGGTCCACTGTAAACATAGAACATAGTCTGTGTAAGTATGAGGGCATTTGCCTGAATGTATCTTTCAAGGAGGTAGACTCCCCTGGTGGATTTTGTCGGTCCTGCTGATGTTTGCCCTAACCTTGAAGGCCACAGTTATTTCCTTTTAGTAATGGCAAGGTTCATAATTCACAGACTTAACGCCGATTTTAAATTAACCAGGGCTCCAGTGCTTCTCTTATACTAGAAATTCATATAATTAAAAGGGTTTTTTGCCCATCTCCCTTTGTCTCAACAATAGTATTAGATTTCCATACTTAAGCCCCATCACTGAGAAGTCCTAGGACGACAAAACAACTGGATGGTGCAAAGTTATTCATGTTTGGCATACTTTATTAATGTTATAGGTACACTCACGTGCTTACATTTTTCGATCATCTTTAAATAATACAGAACAGCATTATGATGTGTATTATCTTGTTTCCGTTTCAGTATGGCATTGACGTTATCATTGTAATTGTGCTTGCTGTTGTTGCTGGTGTCTTAGCCTGGTTCCTGGGATCTGGAGTAAGTTTCATGTTGTTTTGTTTCTTTTCTCTACCGATTAGTCCTAAATAGACGAAACAGCTGTATGATACAGTGTAATTCATTTTTTGTTAACTATATATATTGCCAAATTGTAAAGGTACTATACCATCTATGTTTATTACGTTCTCTTTGTATATCATCCATTTTATCGTTAGTCCTTACTTTGTAATATTTGACGAAAATCGGTTTCATAGCAAACATGATATTTATGTGGACGTTAGATTTTCCAATAGGTGGACTACAGGGGGCTTCATATATCGCTAAAATGTATATTGTGCTGTAAAGAACAAATAAAGCAAACAATTGTACAATGATGTATATATCGGAATGAAGTAAACGTACACTGATGGGAAGTAATCTAATTTGTCAGTTTTTGCGCTATAAACATTGCGGTTGTATATATTGCATTAATTAAGTTCTTGTTTTATAGTTTAATATGGATTGTATTGTAAGTGAGCAAATTCATTAATGCGGTTATCTGTTAAAATAAATAAAATAATAACTTAAATTTGTGTCTGCTAGAATTTGCACTCTTACCGTAGATGGGAAGTAAAATGTGTTAATATATTCTAAAATAGCGATTCCATCTCACAGCACATCATTAAACTTATTTTATTTATTTAAATTACATGACTACGCTCAATACTGACCTTATTGTACTTATTTTAATCGCCCGCAGAGAGTAGTAAAATGTTTAATTGCTTCTCGATAAAACAATATTCACTGTTCCATACCAGCGGTTTTGTTCTCTACTGAAAACTGTCATTTGCAAAATCAATTATCTAAATCGCCTCCATTATGTTTTGGTAAACAATTATCAATAAATGTTTTATATCGTTTATATGAAACAATATCACAATCAATCTAAACTAGTTGAATTTAGTTTCACTTCAGTGCATTAATTGAATGATGGACCATAAACAAAACACGACGTATTTCAGATCAGTGCTTTTATAATATTTCTTTCGATTTTCACAGTCGGTGAATAGAACATGTGTCCTGAAATATGTCAATATGCATGTAACGTACATATAAACAATATCAACACATGAGATAAAACACATAAAAGGACACATTTACCACAACGTCAGCACACAAGGACAAACTTCCATACTGTCAACCCATGATAACCACATATACCACGGCGTAAACACATCAGAACAAAATAAAAACATTGCATCAAAACATATTTACGTAGCGACAACACTCAATGACAAATAGGAGCACAGCCTCAGCAACCAAAGTGTAAATTTACATAGGCATCAGTGCACCTGGACACATATGTCCTTTCTACAAGTTAAACACAGCAGAGGCACATGCACAATAGTCACAAATCAGGCTAACTAAAACACAGCCTCAACACAAAATGGGGAAACAAACTGCAGCGTCCAGGACAAAACATAAGGACAAAAAACACTGCCTCAACACGAGAAGAAAAAAAACACCACACCGTCAACGCAAGAAAAAAACACTGCATGGACACATGTTAAACATAGCGTCAACATATTATTACAAAAAAGGAACACGGCCTCAACACGAAAGGACAATATTTACCACATCGTCAACACACAAAAGGACAAACTACGCGAGGACAACATATATCACAGCACACAAGGACAAATATAAGCAGATACAGTACACAAGGACAACGTCTATCACAGCACACAAGGACAAATATAAGCGGATACAACACACAAGGACAAATATAAGCGGATACAGTACACAAGGACAACATATATCACAGCACACAAGGACAAATATAAGCGGATACAGCACACAAGGACAACATATATCACAGCACACAAGGACAAATAAAAGCGGATACAGCACACAAGGACAAATATAAGCGGGTACAGTACACAAGGACAACATATAACACAGCACACAAGGACAAATATAAGCGGGAACAGAACACAAGGACAACATATAACACAGCACACAAGGCCAAATATAAGCAGATACAGCACACAAGGACAACATATATCGCAGCACACAAGGACAAATATAAGCGGATACAACACACAAGGACAAATATAAGCGGATACAACACACAAGGACAAATATAAGCGGATACAGTACACAGGGACAAATATAAGCGGATACTGTACACAAAGACAACGTCTATCATAGCACACATGGAAAAATATAAGCGGATACAGTACACAAAGACAACGTCTATCACAGCACACAAGGACAAATATATAAGCGGATACAGTACACAAAGACAACGTCTATTTCAATGTCAAGACACAAAAACGAAATATACCAGCACATTAATGCACAGTGGGAGACAGTGTATACACGCAAGGACTGAACTGAAAAGTCGATCTGAATAGACGAAAATATTCCTGCACACAAACCAATTGATTCTTGGTTGTTTTTACTATTATGTATAATTTTCAAGGTAGAAAGTGAATGCCTAGTTAACAAATCCTTGGAAAAATCATTTCAGTTTCCTTCAATATGCGATGTTCAGTTAATTGTGAAAACAATATAATAGAGGGCCTAATTTTGAATTAGTAGGAATTTCAATCTTAAGTTCCGGATAAATTTATATTTACACGATATAAAAGCAATATTAAGTCTCCACTCTAAGTTTTGTCAATGCCGATAAAATTCATGTAAATCTATCATTGTATCTTGTACGTTATCATTTTGATGTATTATCAACTTTAAAATTCGTTTGTCAGCCAACTATAAAAATAAGAAATCAAAATGTGTTAAACACTGTCAGACAAATTGCAGTTAGGATCTAACGTGAGAAAAACGGCAAAACAATTTGCAGATGAGATCTAGAGTGAGAAAATAAGGCAGGCATTTTCGGTGGTACCTAAAACTTAAAACAACAGCTTCAGTATGAACAACATTAAGGACATTACCTGGTATCAGTGTAAGGTCATTGCACGGTTGGTCAGTATTTTGACCGACGCCAAGTAAACTAGGTGTGATGTTTATTATTACTACCGATCCCAGTTTTCTGTAATTAATTACTTTGCAGACTGTTAACGTCAGACCGTTTATGATAATTAGACTAACTCTTCTAGACATTCATTTTAACACTTGACGGCGTACAAACCTGATAACTCCGGTATCAGCCAACACACGTTGAAGGTCATGTTGTTTGTTTAGATTTAACGCTGTGGGACGGACGTCTAGAGACACCAAAAATGCCAGTTGCGGATAACAATAGAGAAGATAAAATCAATTATGACCAAACGACGTCGAAGTTCGCTTAATATCTAAATAATATCCGCACGCTTTAGTTTAGTTTTGTTTAGATTTGACATTGTTCTGAGACTTCTAGAGATTAGACAAGACCCACGAGAGGGTAGCAATACAGATGAAAATATTAAACGGTCGTTTGGAGGTTTATTTGTCATGTCATATTTCTGATATGAAGACTGGTGGCAGGAGACACATCGTGAGAAGGGCAGTAGAAATGTTCTTTTTTGTGTGATTTGTGTTTGGGATTTGTTTTGAAGAGTCAAATAGGTTATAAATACATCATATATGTCGACGGGTGTTTAAACCGTTATCAGGGGAATGATATAACTAATGGAAGAATGCATGCTTGTCACAGCACTTGTAACACGTGAATATTAGTTTCTATATTGTCACGAATGAAGCGGGCAATGACCGGGTTGTATCTCCCTTTGTTCCATCGGTAGAGTCATACTGAGGTTTCAATCATATAATGGCAAGACCTGCTAATGCCACCTATAAGTTTTGTACAATATCCAAGAGGTTTAACGTGTTTATTCGAGGTTCAAGGTTCAGCATTTTCAGTTTGGTGAACTTCACGAATATAGACAGATGTTATATTTAATGCAAGACACGTATTCTTTAGATGTGATCATTTGGTCCATTTTTATCAGAGGTAATACTCGAATCGGCTCAAAAGTGTGTGGTGTGGTCTTTCTATTTAGTCAAATATTTGCTAGTTTTTTTGGCCGATTTCGAGGTCAGATTTTAGGGTTTGCTTTCAGTATGACATGATTGATTTCTGTTTTACTTATCAATGTACAAAGGTCATCCACCTGCAGTTAAACGGATGAAAATATATATTTCAATCATCTATTACAATTATGGTTAAAATTGGGATTTCCGATTTTCATGAGTAAGAAGTATTGTCTAGTTTTATGAACAGTTAGATCATACTTGAACTAAACCACTTTAATACATTTTTAACAATGTCTTTGTCCAACTTTAGCGTGTTGTTTTATCAGAAACCCCCCAGGAAAAATGTCGTATACTCCGATTTTCATAATTTCTTTACTTCTTTTTTTTAGATATTCCTTTCAACTTAAATTATCTTAACATCATTAGAAATAATAAAATGAAAATGAAAATGTACGTCAAAACTCTCGGTATCGTTAGCCGGTAGCGGAAGTATACAGGTGAGCAATGATCGGCTGCAACTGTCTTTACTTCATTTGAAGACGGAGTACAATGATTCATTCATGTTTCTGACAGAACAAATAAAGCATTACTTTGTTTCTCTACGACAGGTTATCTATGATTCTTGGGCGCTATAATGAGAAGTAGGCACACCTTGTCCCTGTAATACTTGAACAGGGGATAGGATGGTTTTATTACATATACATTATTAACAAGTTCACATAAACCTATACTCTGGACATGCTCTATATGTTCAGGAACTGGGGTTTAAAACATGCGGTGTGTCAGAAGCTGAAAGTGATACCAGTATCTCCTGGGTTGAGGCGTACGTGTTAATTAAGGTAAACCCTGACGAGATATGGTCTTTGAAAGTCTTGTCAGCTTGAGGCAAATATTATTAACATGTTCCCTTCAATCTATAATATTTCAAAAACATTGAAAACCTCAATCACATATATAAGATTAAATACAATCATTCAGAGCTTTTATAACTTTTGACGAAAACAATAATCCGTAAAATATGAATCAACAAACTATGAAGCTAACAACATTTTTAACTTTAGAATAAAGATGAGGTCCAC